GATTTTGTTAATAACATCCGCAGGAATCTGACGCCGTTTGTCTTGCCACTTCACCCCCAAGAACTGGATTTCTTGGGCAGGTCCCTTGACTTTGCTCTTCTTAATGGCAAATCCGGCTTTCAGGAGAATATGAATGATCTTCTCTCCTTTCTTGAACACTTCTATTGCCGTGTTCCCCCAAACAATGATATCATCAATATATTGTAAATGTTCTGGAGCCTCACCCTCTTCTAGTGCAGCCTGGATCAGTCCATGACAGATGGTAGGACTGTGTTTCCACCCCTGGGGCAGTCGGTTCCAGGTATACTGCACTCCCCTCCAGGTAAAAGCAAACGGAGGCCTGCATTCTGCTGCCAGAGGAATGGAGAAAAATGCATTAGCAATATTGATGGTTGTGTACCACTTTGCTGCTTTGGACTCCAGCTTGTACTGCAGTTCCAGTATGTCCGGTACAGCCGCACTCAGTGGTGGAGTCACTTCATTCAAGGCACGATAGTCCACAGTCAATCTCCATTCTCTGTCAGATTTTCGCACAGGCCAGATAGGGCTGTTAAAGGGTGAGCTGACCACTCCTTGGTTCTCCAGCTCTCGGATCATCTTGTGGATGGGGATCACGGCATCTCGATTCGTCCGGTACTGCCTGCGGTGCCCTGTTGAGGTGGCAGTTGGCACTCGTTGCTCCTGTACCTTCAAGAGTCCCACTGCAGATGGATTCTTAGACAGTCCAGGCAAGGTATTCAATTGCTGGATGCCCTCTGTCACTACCGTTGCTATCCCAAATGCTCACCTGAGTCTTTCTGGGTCTTTGAAATACCCACTTCGCAGATAATCTATGCCCAAAATACAGTCATCATCATACTTGGCAGTTCGGCTAGGGCAACTGGAGTTGCTTTCTTTGTGGTGGAACTTTCTCTCTGAGCCCTGTCTTCCTTCAATTCACGCACCCGTCGGGCCAGAGCAGCCGTGGATTTTCCATCCCATCGCCTCATGTTTTCTCCACAATCACGCAGGAAAAACCACAGCTCAGCTCGTGGGGTGTATCTTCTCTCTCCATCTGGGGAACGTCTGCGTTGGGTACCAGGGCCTCTAATTTGTACAGCCGAGATTTGAATAAGGTCCTCCTTAATCTCTTCCCGGAGTTTCTTATGGTTCTCCTCTATTTTGTCCTCTAGTTTCTGCAGTCGTGTTTCCACTGCTGCAATTCTGGCATGAGTTGGGCCATGCACAGCATCTGCATACGCTCGAAGCTTCTTCGCCATATCGAGCACAGTCTCATATGTGTCATCCCGCTTCAATATTGCTAGGGCTGAGGCGTATTCAGGTGGCCCAAGTCGCACAAGTTTCCTCCACATTACAGGTGTGCATGGTACCTGGTCCGGATTCCTAGTTGTTATATCATCTGAGAAAATGAGCTCTGCCACCGCCATCTCTCTCAGGCGTTGGATTCCCTGTTCTATGGTCTTCCACCGTGTCTGCTGTATATAGAGATCATCTGCACATAAGTATCTTTGTGCTACACTATCCAGGACCCGTTCCCAGAGGCTGTGAGGGCTAGCCCTGCTCATCATACCTTGATCGATGACAGGATCATGTGACAGGGATCCCAAATGCCTCGCTTCAGTACCATCCAAAATCATAACCTCCCCTGCAGCATCCCAGAGGCGGACTAACCAACTAATTATAGATTCGTCAGGTTGTCGTCTGTAATCTTTTCTTAGGCCTCTGAGGTCCTTCAGAGAAAAGGAGTCAATATTGGCTCCAGAATCTGTGCCCCTTGATGTGGCCTCTGATTTTGGTGAGGGTCCTTCTCCTGGATCATCATCATCATCCTCCACCTTTCGATCGGTCTTGTCTTTACACTTTCCACCTCTTGTATTAGCTGCAACAGCCATGGGTTGAGGCCTATTGTCTGATTCAGCTGCTAGCCTGGAGCCTGGGATGTTAGCTGCAGCCTGGGTCACTGGGATAGTAACTAACTTATCTCCCTGTTCCCTTTCTGCTATCTGCTGCTCCACAGTATCTAGCAGAGTACGGTAAACAAACGCCAAGGCCCAGCTCACTGCAGTAATCCTTTCCTCCTTAGTATTACCATGGCACTTCTCCCTCAAATACTTTGCCACCTCGATTGGGTTCTGAATTTGATCAGATGGGAAGTCCCAGTCTATAGGATCAGAAAATTCCTTTAAAGTCTGGCCCATCTCCTCCCATTTCCCACTCCAGTCAAGATTTTTCCTACTTTGTTTTACTCCTGAATCAGGAGTCTCTCTAACCCCTCTAGAAATCTCAGCTTTCATTTTATATACACTCCAGACAGTATAGAAAAGGCTTAATAAATTAAATGCCAGAAAGATGGTTTCTTTAACATTCAGGGGAAACTGAACATTCTCAAAAAGTGATGTAACAGATTCAAAGGAGAAGCAGGAAAGGAAAGGCTGGAAAGCCTCATTCCCTGCTCTTCCTTTAACCAGCTGGGTGCAATTACTAATAAATTCCCAAAACATACTGCTAGAACTGGGATGCAGGGTAGGACGAAGAAACCATAAACCATACATATCGTAAACAGACGCCAGTATCTTTGTAAACGCCCTATAAATCATTATCACCAAGGCCATCACAATAGCTATTCCAATCCGTGCCCCTTTACTGCAAAAACTACGTGATAGGGACAATAATCCTAGTGACCAGAAAGGTATTGAAACCTCAAAAAGGTCTAGAGACCAGAGCCACATAAAGGCCTCCCCAAGAAACATTACAAATTCAAGCAACATGGATACTGGGTACTTTAACCTACTACACAGCAAGCACAACCAACCTGCAATCAATAAAGGGTTTTTTTCCACTTTCTCAAGCCACGCGTTGGGCGCCACTAACTGTACTTGTCCTGGTTTAGGGCAAGTTTGGGAGATAACCTCCAAAGGGGCTTCTCTACGAAAGCAGATTCAATTGCCCCCTCCCCCCCAACCGGTTCGGGAGAAAATATCTCCTTGGAGAAAAAGTGGAAAGAAACCTGTTTATTAAACAATAGAACCCAAACAATATAACTTCTCACTGCTCCAAAAAAACAAACTCAGAACAGTCCCCTCCCCAGGTTGCAGTTCGTCTCACTCAGTTTCTGATCAGTCTCTCTGGTGCTGGAAATGCCGCGGCCCAGGCCCGGCCAAGGGGCCTCAGGTGGAGCTGCCGGTGCTCTTCTGGGTGTTCAGTCCAGAGCAGGCTTGAACAGATCCAAGAAAAAGGAAAAATCACAGTCCAGGGAACTTCTTTGCCTCAGCTAGCTAAAACTAACTAAAAGCAAAAAAAAGGGGAAAAGAGGAGCTCTGTCCTGCTGTCTGTACATCCGCAGACAACACAGTCCAGGAGCAGGAATATGGAGGAGTGAGTGCAGTCTGAAAACAAACTGCGCGCTTCTTCCCTCCCCTCTTCACTCGCCAAGGTGCCCGGTCACACTCACCCCTCCCTCCCCACCCCGCAGCGGCAAGACGGCCGGGGAAGGAGAAGGCGCAGCTGCCAGACACAACACACGATATTGGGATAAAGGCTGTCACCCCACGACAGCTTGTGTCTGGGTCCAGTAGTGCTTCACGTGTCTTGCCGACATTCACTTTGGTCCTTGCCCTGTGGAGACACAAGCAAAACCCTTGCCCCAAGTTATTAATTTGAAAGGACCTTCAATGTGTCCTGTCTCTGGGTTCCAGATCAAAACTAAAGGATTCTCCCTTAGTTTTGTCTGTGTACTATTTGAAAAGTGTCTAATGATTGGTGGAGTGGGCTCTGAAAAAGACCCGTTTAGAAAATTCAATATGGATGAAGCTTTGTCCAACCACATGTGAGGTGTTGGTTCTGCCTCCCCCCTTTTCTGTGTGTCCAAAAGGGATTTCAGGGTGTGATGTGTTCTTTCAATGATCACTTGACTTGTGGGAGAGTGGGGACTACCAAAGGTGTGTTTGACACCCCACTTTTTCAGGAACCTGTCAAGCACTTTCCCTCTATAAGTTGGACCATTATCTGTTTGTATTTCTTGTGGCACCCCTCATGGTGCAAATGCTTGCAAAAAATGTTGACAGGCAGGTTGTGCGGTTTCTCCTGCTTGCAATGATGCAAAAATTGCTCCTGAAAAACATGTCAACCGAAACATGAATGTATTTGAGTTTTCCAAAAGGTAGATATTTTGTGACATCATCTTGCCACAACTGGAAACTCTGCAGTCCTCTTGGATTGACTGCTCCTGTGGATGCAGGTGGTTGTACAAGCCCCGCACTTGTAGCATTGTCCTTCTGAGTTGTTCTTTTGGAACATTGAGAGAACTTCTTTGTAGTTCTCATTTTGTGCTTTGATGCTTTTCTCTGTCTGTTCTCCCCAGATGGACACAACGTGTTGAGGTGTTCCCACTTTGTTCCATGCTTCCACCATCTCTGGCAGAGAGGGTTGTTCTGACATTGCATTGGTGACTCCTTTGCATTCCGGATTAGCATTGGCAAACGCAAGGCTTCCAAGTAGATGTGGTTTCACTGCTTCCTCAGTTACTTCTCTGTCCACTGCTTGTATGAGACGATTGATGAATGAAGTGAAAGACTCAGAGACACCTTGCTTCACTTCTGTGTAAATGCCTTCTGGAGTTCCAATTGGTTGAATGTGCACAATTGCCCTTTGGGCTGTCTGCAGTCACATCTGGAGGCAATTCTGCTGTCTGATCTTCAGGTTTGTCATGGGGTTCATCTCCTGCTAATTGAGCCAGTGTGAGACTTGTGGCCTTCCTGCATGTCTGTTTCTGAGCTGACTGAGTGCCCTTTGCCATCTTACATCCCACAGCAGGAGTTGTGAATCTGTAAAAATTGCCAAGGCAATGTACCTACAGTCGAAAGACACCAAGTTGTAATTGTTGAAAATGCCTCTCAAAAGCTGCTTGAAATATGGTGAGCCAAGTCCTTCTTTTCTTGCAGCTTCTAATAAGTCTTTTGAGACTTGATGGTCCAAAGGTTCTCATCTAGGGTTTTCATTTCTTCTTCTGCACCTCACTGGCATTGCAATGATGTCTGTATCTAGTATTTCATGACCTCTGTCTTGCAGTGCTGTCGTCCTAACATTTGCCCAATTCATTGGCGATGCACTCTTGGAATATTTCTGGGAATTAAGACCAAATCCATGCCCGTATCCGGTGGATTTGTAGTTTGCCTGGATGCACCTTCTTCTGGCCTGAAGGTTGCATGCACCCCTCCCCCTTCTGTTGGAGGTGTGATGAGAGGGGTTTGTGGTTGTGGGTATTGGGGAAATGAAGAAGCAATGGTTTAATCCACTGTGTGTGTTGCTGTAGATGAGGTTGATGTAAAAAGGGAGCTGCCATCTGGCTCTGATAAGGAGGGTTGAAGGGAACGTGCATGGCGTTGTGATAGAAATTGATGAGCACATTGCTGAAGCTGGAGAAAGAGCTGCCTTACAAAGTCTTTAGAAAATGAGAAATGCTGTGGGCAGGAGGAGGAACTGGATCGTTGCCCTGAAATCCAGGCCTTTGGAGGAGGCATGTAAAAAGCTGAAGTGCAGCCTTTTGGATGGGGTCCAACAGCCTGGTGGGTCTTGGGATGACCTAGAAATGCCTTGTCCAGCTGTGATGGATACAATATTTTTGTTGCTGATATCCTGGGGTTGTGGGAGTTGTTGTTCTGGATCAGCCGTGGCTTGAGCTCTAGTCTCCTGTGTGGTGTGTGTTGTGTCTTGTTCCAACACTTTCCATTTGCCTGGGAATATGATGATTGTATCTTGCTCTTCTTCTGCAAGAGAGGCTTTGAGGGCTTGGATTGACTGTGCTTGAGTAGGAGGGTCTTTAATTACAATTATCTTGCAGCCTTTTGGAATTTGTTGTAATGGTGCTGTTGTTGCAGAAGGCAGAGCTGTTGCTGCAGGGATTGGCCGTGAGCCGCTTCTCGCAGCGGCCCCTGCAGAGACTGCCGCGGTTTGGATGTTTTGAAAGCCTCCACTTGGTGGGCACGGGGTGGGGTGGGGAGATGATGGCTCCCCGAGCACGGCGATGCTTGACCACTCTGACAGCCAGCGAGGCACGGCTGCCGCTGCGGTGGAGGAAGGACCTGGGCAGAGGAAGGTGGGGCAGCGGGTTGGCTTGGGGCTGTGCAGGGAGCACGCACCGTCCCTGGCACGGACTGAGCCTGCACCGACTGACGGGAGGGGTGGGTGGTGATGTCAGACCCACTCTCTGTGGGTCCCGCTCTTCATGCCTCAGTTCTCAAAAATTAATCAACTCTTTCAGAAAAACAAACCAGTTTTACACTTCACACTCAACTTGTGCTACATTTATCACTTTTGACACCAGATGGTAGCGTTGCTTCAAAAAACACACCACAGTTCTTAAAACAATTAGAACATCACAATCTTATTATTCCCATGGGAAACACTTCATGCAATCTAACAATATGCACGCTACACTAGAGCACTTAACCTCTATATTTCAAATTCCTCAAACATAAGCACCTGAACAGCCACCCCTGTAATTTCTCAAGAGTCTGAACCTTTAAACGCGAACATGGGGTGTTACAGTAAATTCCGTCCCCTCTAACCAAAACACACACACACACACACACACACAAACACACACACACACACACACAGAGACACAGTGGAGAGGGGATTTATTAAGGATCATGCACCCCACTCACTTTGTTTTTCTCCAGCTGTTTCAGTCACCTGAAAATGGAACCGCAGGTCCAAACTCCCACTTGGCATCGCACTAACAGCATGTCTCAACAAACACTTTCACAGTCGTTCTCACAGTCAGAACACATTCACGACAGCATAACAACTTTAGACCAGGATTTGCCCTTATGACTGCTAGCCCCAGTTGGTAGCAAACCAAGCCCTCTACGTCAAATCAAATGACAAAGTCCCTTACTGTCAACAACAAAAGCCCGAGCTCGGTACAACAGTTCAACATCTCTTTCTGCTGGCAACCAGATGAACCAGATTTCAACTGCAACCTCAGCTTGCAAGCACACGACAGAGGCACAAGTTGCACGTGGGACATCTCCCATGACTTACCAAACGGCCTTTCCTGACCATGCCTTACAGGTCACTATTTAAAACAGTTTCAATTTTTAAACATACTATTTTGTCTGGAGTTTTAGTAGTCAGGGGTCCTTGTCTGCTGCTGGATAGAGTCTGGGCAGCAGAGCCCACTCTTCCAGGAATATCCTGGGAGTGCCCCAAGAGGGTCCATGACCCGAGCTGGTCTCACAACCCAGCAGAGTCTTATCCTGGCTGGCTTGCCAATTGAATAGTTAAAACTGGAGATCACAGACAAAGACTCTCTAACTAGATAAAGTTACAAAGTTTTATGTTTATGACACGGGCAGGTGGCATGGGAGGGTCATCACCAAAATGTGTGACCACACACAAGGCTCTTTGCCTTCTATTTATTTCCCAAAATAATACATATGCATAACCCCAGCACCTCCCATCCCTGCTTTGTATTAAAATGAGGTTATTAGTCCTTCATGCGTGTGCAATTCTTCTCTCAAATTGGGTCAATGTCTCAAATTGGGTCAGTGATCCCAGGGATGAAGTCAGGAAGGTCTTCATCAGGTCTCTGTGACCGTCTGGCAGGATCCAAGGCCACCTGCTTGGTGATGGATTAACATGGAGTCCAGGTGCTGGGCATTGTTCTACTGGTTTCAATATGTTCCTATAATGGTTCACTTGCTCCATTCCTTCTACAAATGAGCTCATAATATAACAATTAGCTTTAGCTTAAGCATCTAATAATCATTAACCTATTGTTGGTGTATTTCACTTCGATATTGGTTCTGACCCTCAGCTAAAATCTTAACCCTTTAAAATCATGATTCATGTATGGCTGCTTTCCAATTCTGGTTCATCCCTATGATGCAACATGAACCATCAGTGAAAAGAGCGAAGCGTGTTTCTTCTGCTGGTAGTTGGTTGTAGGGTGGAGCTTCTTCAGCCCGTAGCACTTGTTCTTCTTTGTCAGTGAGACCAAAGTTTTCACCCTCCGGCCAGTTTGTAATTATTGCCAAAATTCCAGGGCGATTCAGGTTTCCAGTATGGGTGTGCTGTGTGATGAGGGCAATCCACTTGCTCCATGTGGTGTCTGTGGCATGGTGGGTAATGGGAACCTTTCCTTTAAACATCAAGCACAGCGCTGGTAGTCAGGGCGCCAGGAGGAGTTGTGCTTCCGTGCCAATCACCTCTGAGGCAACTTGGACTCCTTCATAGGT